TCAGAACGATACCCAGAAGCGATGCGTAATTTAGTGAGAAATCGTCGTCGATTGACAACACATTTTGACCTGTACGAAACGATGCGCGACTTAGCCGAATTGGAATCAATTGAATCGCATACAATTGAAGAACGTGCCAAAGAGCTCGAAGGAATTGAGCCAATGCCTCGCGGGATCAGCTTATTTTTACCCATTCCAACGACAAGATCATGTTACAACGCTGCCATTTCACCACACTGGTGTACATGCCATGAACGAACTGAATTGACGGCAACCGATCAACGCATCAGCGAAGTGGCTCGACGGATTGTGGGCCAAATGAATGACATGATCAAACCATATCCACAGTGTCGACGCTTACAATTGAACTCCGTTCTTAGTGCCAATTTAGGAACATCCAGTACGATCTTTCGAAATGTAACCAATCATTTCGTTGATGTCGCAGTCCAGCTACAAACACGACCTGGTCTTGGTGAATTCGAAGCAACCGCTCGCATTCACGAAAACAACGACTTCGAATTGACCGGAACGATTAGCCGAACCAATTTGTATGGGAAGCAAAGTCACTGTGTCGACGATTACAAAATGAAATTGTACTGCTTTTGTGATAGTCTAGCATAAGAATGCAATCTAAAAATATATGATGACAATACCAAATCCTTTTCTTTGTTATGATATTATATTAAGCATTGTGTAGGAGAGAAGAGTTAACCTTTTTACGCGTTAATGTATTGAAGTTTCGCAAGCTTTTCAGTTGAATGTAACTTATAGATAGTGCACGTTTATTGAAATCGATTGTAAACGCATAATCATTTGTTAGCTTTTTTTACACCATGTGTAAAAATTACATAATAAAGTGCATTGAAACATGATTGGCGGTTTTTATTCAGTTAGTTAAAGTTAAAAAGGTTATTCATTCAGCAGAAGTTTGTCACTTTCATCATCAGTAATTATCGGAGTAAGTAAAAGTCACGCCAAATGAAAAGCAGAACAAAAAAGTCTTCTTTGAATATAAAATGAAGCGTTTCCATGCAACTTTTTACAAACTGTAATTAACAGCTTATTCCAACCTCTTTTTATGAGTTTCAATGTTCTTAACCATTTTGTCTAACTGAAGTCGAAAGGAAACCAATGATGTGCGAACCAGCAAATTAGTACTTACCGTTATTTATTGCCGTTTTGTCTCTCATTATCACAAATGCTTTAATTTACAAAAAAAACCAGTCCAAGGAGTTTGCAAACCTCATGAGGTGTTCTTCATGCATATTCAATGAGTTCAGACTGAACTATATAACAAGTTTTGTGAAATGACAACGACAATGAACGGATTCATTGTCAAGTTCATGTCAGTCACAGTATTCACGAAGTGTAAAAATCCATTCTCACTATCAACATACATTACCATTTGGAAGATAGACGCGAATATAAAAAAATATAAAACGGCGTCAGCTTAAAATCGATAATAATATTAGTTCAAGTCTAAGCAAATGACACAGGTGTGTTTGGATTCATTGGGAGAAATATTACTTTTACTCAGCTCTGATTTTTTCTGCCAAGTGTACAATTGTTGCCTTAATTAGACTTTGCACATCACGAACGGGAATCGATGAAAATGAAGCGTATATCATCTAAAAATTCTTTGATATCAGGAGAAGGCTTCCCCGAGAAGTATAATTTGGACAAGTCCGAAGTACCAATTGTAACCTTACAACGAACAACTAATTGACAAATTAGACGAATATTCCGGTGCTGATAGCCAATAAATGTGTACGAAATATGAAATTATAACTCTTTTTATGGCCACATCGAAGCGAAACGAATCAAGTAACTGCAGTAAGTACGGTGAATTGAGTAACTGAATCGCAAATGCGATAAGAAATTCTTGATGACGAATATCTTTTCGATCGATATAAAAAAAAATCGATTGTAAAAATGCATTTCATAATATGATTACCCTTGTGCAAATACTGTAAATGAGTAGCTAGTCGACAAATATTGGACGTTTTGTCTGGCTAAAATTGATAATATCTAACAAAATCAAAAACTGTAGTTGGCTCTTGAATGTGAGTCAAAATGTCGATGGCTAAAAGAATGACAAAATGTGATGAATCATTTCTATCATTTAAAATTTAATCGTACTAGCCAATTTCAGTTGTTTGCCAATCTATACAACTGAGCGAATGTTAGTAATTCCTTTTGCACACGGGTGCAACGCCTACTAAAATACCTAAAAGTTATAAATGCCATTGTAATATTATTTTCAAGCCTAGTTCTACGTCAATCGTCAAAAATATAAATCATAAAAATTTTAATCAGCTTTTTCAAAAATGTACAACATCCCACTCGTCACGGTGCTCAAAAACAGAAAAAACCGCTTTAAATTGTTGTTAATTTTGACCATTGGTTTCGGAATATTTATGTACATCACTGATTTGTCATCGTTGTGGTTGCTACGATTCTTTCGCGACGGAGAGCATCGGAAATGGAAAACCATAGGAGATCAAGAAAATCAATCATATTTCATAGACACAGAGGGTTGTCGTATGCCCAGTTTCAAGGTGTTCGACGAGAATGTGGAAAAGTTCGTTTTTGATGTTCCACCAATTGAGTGTGGTAAGCCACTGGTTAGGTCAAATAACAATTATCTGTGGATCGATTTAAGTGAGACTGAAATAGAAAAAACATATGGGGTTGATGACGTGAACAAACTGTTCTGTGAATATCAACCGTTTCGGCGTAAAACTGACTATGAAAATGAGTTCTCAAAAATTAGAAGAGTGTTTCGATTTGGTGAATTGATACCAGTACCCAACCAATTTGTACGCGTTATTTGCCGTTTAAAAGGTGAAAAGAAGGAAGTTTATCGAGATTATCATTTTTTATTGAAAAACAAACAAGCAAACACCATTCAGAGAATTCGAGTAGAAAATAAGACTGAAAAGGATGAGGGCAATGAACCGATGAGCGTTATGGTGATTGGCATCGATAGCGTTTCGAGACTAAATTTCCATCGTCAAATGGGCGAAAGTGCTGCAGTGTTGCTGAACGATTTGCAGGCAATCGAAATGTTTGGCTTCAATAAAGTCGCCGATAATACGTATCCAAATTTGATACCAACGTTGACGGGGCTGGATGAAAACGAATTGAATTCGTCTTGCGTTTCCAGCGAAAACGATACATTTGATCGCTGTGATTTCATTTGGAACACATTCAAAAAGAAGAATTTCACAACAGCTTACGTCGAAGATGCAGCATCACTTGGTCTGTTTCATTATTACAAAGCAGGCTTTACAAATCAACCGACCGATTACAGTTTGCGTCCTGCGATGGTAGAAATGGAATGCAACGATAAGAAACCACAAGATTTCAATACATATTTGTGTCTGGGTAAACGGCGTACATTTGATGTTCTACTGGAATATGCACAGAAGTTCATCACATTGATGGCAGACCGTTTACACTTTTCCTTCTTTTGGTCCACATCATACACTCATGACTATCTCAATTTTCCCACGTTAATCGATGCCAATCTGGCTGAATTCTTGCTAGAGATGCAAAC